CCACTGTCCATCCATCACTGCTCCACTGTCCATCCGTCACTGCTCCACTGTCCATCCATCACTGCTCCACTGTCCATCCATAATTTGTCCTCATGTTAGTTTTATGTTGTTAAGTATCCTACTTTAAAATATGTAGCATTAGTTTATTTTGTTCATAACAAATCAGCCATTTGGAAAGTTTTATATATTTTTTTGGCAACAGTGTTTAATGATAGATGCAAAATCTGGACTATAATGGAACAACTTTTCAGTTCCAGAGCAATTCATTACATTATTTACAAAACATCTGAAGGAAAAAAATGTTTCAACCATGAATTTACATTACCATCTTCAAATACTTATTATACTGATAATCTTCTCATCTAATCCATAGACATAAAGAGAACAAGCCTATTTGTTAAAATGTGATCACTGAAATGTCTAATAACAACGACTGTTTGGATTTTTTTTCTCTTCATGTTTTTACATCAGCAAACCGAGAAGGCACCACCTGCAGCTTTGCAGACCCGGCCTTCGTGGTGTACTCATCTGTGGCTTCGTTTTACGTTCCCTTCATCGTAACGCTGCTGGTGTACGCCCAGATCTGCGTGGTGCTACGCAAACGAGGCAGACGAACCGCCCCGCCACGCAAACACGGTCTGCTCAACCAAAGTGGAGCCGGTGAAGGTCGACATCGGAAGGTAGAGTATGGGGAAGTTTTCTTCAAGCCCAGCTGTCTTTTGTTGTTTTTGTTTATTTTACCTTATAAATCTGAAATTTACACTAAACACCCAGAAAATCAATTTATTTTAATTACTTGCAAAAAAAACTATCTGTTACTTTTGTCATAATTAACAATATTCAGTATTTTGTTGTCCCCCATTGTGGAGCAAAAATGGGGAATAGGAAATACACTCCATCTGTGAATGTTGTGAGCACGATAACGAAAAATAATTGAGGTACTGACTTCCATTTTGGTGTATGACCATATCTAGGTGTAAGGAATATTCCTTTCAAAAATTGAGTTGCCACGTCAAAAATCTATGACAGCCGCCACCCGTAACATACTGTATATGTAAACTTTGTGAGCTGGATAACTTGAAAAATAAGTAATGGACAAACTTCCTTTTTTGGTGTGTGGCTGCATGAAGTTATAAGAAAGGTTTCTTTCGAAAACTGGGATGCAACATCAAAATCCAAGATGGCCACCACAAAGTATGTATGTAAACCTGCCACCCCTATCGTTTGAGGAAACTACGCTTACTTAAAAGTATAGTTTCCTCAAATGATTGAGGTGGACAAAGATTAATCTATGGTGGTCAAGGCAACCATTGCCCCCCCATGGCTCTGCTACTGCCCTTGGTGGTCTATAAAATTGCTCCCTCTGCTCACCAGGATACGTCACTCTGCACCTCCTTGGACAAGAAAAATAAAACCATCTTTATTTTTATACAGTTTAACTTATACCCACTTGAATATATTCACCCAAACATTAAGGTTTACTTTTGTTCCCTGTTCTAGTCCAGAAAAACTCTCATCTCAGTAACTACAAACATTTACTGTTTAAGCTTTCAGCTACGTGGGACATTGATGCTTGCTGAATAAAGTTTTCACTTCTTCACAAACAACTTTTGATTTTTAATCACATTTAACTTTGTTACAAATGATTACTTATAGATTTGAATGAATTATTGATACTCTTGCTGAATATCGTTTTAGAAATAAAATTCACCTTTTCACTGTGAAACATTTGAGGTTTGTCCTTTGAAGGGTCTTTTTTAATTCCATTATAGTTTAGAGGAAATGTTCATTTTTAATTCAGCTTCATGAAGAATAAATGTTAGCTTATTCCTCAATAATTTCAAATACATATTAAAATGCACCCCTCGACAGCACTTGTATTTGAAAGTGCAAACCTTTAAGGCAACAGTAAGACTGGTGCACTGAGATGAATACAAAGTGTGTCATCATGCACTGACATTCCCCTTCTCTCTTTTTAAAACTGTGCAACAACTAAATGTGCTTCCAAGAAAAATAAAACAAGTGTCAATGTTGATTTGAAATACTTGCTTATTTTTCTGCAGAAAATGAGTTTTATTTTGATTGCTGTAAATCTGTCAAAGCCTTTCAGGTAAAGATTTTTCAAGATTTGCAGCAACAACTTCAATGCAGACTAATGTGAACAGGCAATATGTGTTGTAAAAGTTGTGTTTTAAGTTGCTGTTTCCATCCCTAAAGTCATCTCTGTTATGAATGGCTCATTAAAGTAGCTAATATGTACATACATATATATATATATATATATACATATATATATATATATACATA